ACACACACACACACACACACACACACACACACACACAATCCATTGATCCATTGTTAACATCCAAATGCTGATGAGTGTGACTCTAGCACTGCAACATGATTTCATCCCACTTTCTTACCGCACACTCGTCAGCATTTTTCGATATGTACGACCCACTTTGTTACCCACTGACAGATTTCAGGCTGCACCACACAGAACTGGGTTTTTAAAATGTTCTCATACATTTTCACCAACATGGTTAAAACCCTGCTCACACGGCACTGAGACAGAAGCATGCTCTAAACTTTTCTCACCCCATGACTGAACCTGAGGTTTCAAAACAAAAAAAAATCTGCACTTATCTCACACAGAGAACATCAAAGGGACTTCATCTACCTGAACAGTCAACTATTAACTAACCAGGAAGGATAGACTGACCTCGGTCGATTTGAGCCGGTCGACCTGAACCACAAACTTGGATTTTCCATAGAAATGCCCTGCCTGTGTCTCCTACCAAGCTATTTGAGGACTGAACTAAAAATTATTGGGAATTGTTTGTGAGTGTGTGTGTGTGCATGCCTGTGATCCTCGGGTCAGAACGTGGAAAAACTGAATTCCAAACAGCCTGGCCAGCTCGCTGGTTCTGCCAATGATGTCATGTTGCTGCAGGAGCTGCATGCAGCCACGCACACGGCTCACGTAGTGATCCACCATCTTCCACCTAGAGCAACACAAACAGGATAATCATATAAGCCAGAGTTACAGAGCTGGCTTCAAGGGAAGAGTCAATTATGAGAAATTTACAACCATCTCTTTGTACTACATCTTTTAATTTCATGTAAGGTAATGTCCAAAAAGGTGGTTGTGTTTGACCCCGGCACAAACCTGTACAAGTCTGTGTTGTGGTCAAACCAGTCAGAGAGAGTGCGGGGACTGTAGAGAGGGAAGCGCTGGTGGAGCACATGGAAGGCCACGTTTTCAAAAGTGTAGTTGTTTAACGTCACCTGGAGGAGGAAAGAAAAAACATTTTCTAGTTCTATTTTTCAAAACTGCCTCTCTCTGACGTTTACACAATTTATGGATCAGAATCAAATAATAGCAATAACAGAACGCAAGGAAAAGAGTAGCACAAAGGGTTAACGTTTCCTCGCTTCAACTAAAACTCTGAATCTTTTACAAGAGATGTGTTAGCTTACTTAAATGTATACAAGTGTCTACATGTGACCACTAATCACACATTGTAGTCTTTTTGTGGATGAGCTGTGAGCAGTTCCAAAGGCTCAGACTAGAAATGTCGGCTTTTTCTCTATTTAAGAAACCACAAACACTAAACATGATTTCTTTTTTTGCATGGACGGATGGTTCTCACCATGCTTCACTTAAAAATGGTTTGGAACCCTTTCCAGACCCATATCTATATCTATATAGATATCTCTATATATATATACATATATAAGGGGTGAGTGGGCTAATTGTACCCATTCTTTTACTAGTTAGTCCTAACTGAAAGCTGACTGCTGCTGATCTTACACTACAGTGGGCGTTGTAAACCTAGCTGACTGAGGGAATCCCCGTGTATTCTTAGTGAGAGAAAAAAAAAGTAGTTTTAATCCAAAAGCAGCAGAGCACACAGCATAAAGCTGCAAAACAACTGGACCAGTTCAGACAGCAGCAGCTCACAGTAAACAGAATCAAACAACAGGACAGAGAAAACTGGAGTCACAGGGGTTGAGGGAATGTAAAGACAATAATAACTACTTGATGATAACATTTTTTATTTGTTAATACCAGAGCTTCACTTTATATGAAACTATGAAAAAAATAAGAGTCACAGAAAAAGCAGCAGCAGAAAAAGTAAAGTGGGGAGAGCCGTGCTGGAAAAACAAGTGGAAAGACAGAAAGTAGGTCACGAGCTACAAAGCTGTGAGGAGGTCATGCCAGGACACCTGCCTCAGTTTTCATCACCCTCCACAGGTTAAGGGTGATGCGCCCGATGATGTTGATCTCTGTCATGGTGTCGGCTCCGTACTCATCCCTCTCTGCAGCAAAGCGGTTCTCTTTGGAGTCACCTGAGGACACGCACAGAGCCAGACAGGCAGCCGATTACAGAGGAGGGAAGCCGCCAGAGGCTCTCCATTCAGCTCGAGTACACAAACACACACACACACTCAAAGGGAATCACACATTCACACACTTATACAGGCAAACACATACACATACATGCTGTATCAAGACTCAGTCACAGGCACACCACAAAAATGGGGCTACACGTTTGCACTTATATTATCTACAATGTGTACCTACATTATGCACCAGATCCAGCACACACACCATGTACTGGCTTTCATTAGCCAAACTCACACTGTCAGATTCAATAACAGGGATGCACAGTAAAGTACTGCGCGTGTTTAATATGTGGCTGCACATTTAGTGCCAGCTGCTAATTGTGGATCGACCCTGATGAGTCACAAGCACATTTTAAGAGGGGAAGATGGGAAGATGTATTCGCCCCCTTTGTCACTTTAGTTTTTTCCATATTTGTCACGTTCCGGACTGTCTAACATTAAAATCTGACAAAGACAACCCAACTAAATCCAAAATGCAGTTTTTAAATGATCGTGTCATGCATTAAGGGAAAATGTTCTCGAAGCCTACCTGCCCCCATGCCAAAAATAAACCTTTAATTCAGCCTCATTTGAGGGTTTTGGAAAATGAATGGCCCGTTTAAAGCCACGGCAAAGCATCTGAATTTGAATAGAAATCTGAACTGTGACTATGCCACGCCAAAACTTCCACTACACGTTTTTCTTCAGAGGCAGATCATTCTCCTCATATGTAACATCACTTTAGCTTCGTGCAATGAATTGATGGTTGGACATTCTCCTTTAGGATATTCTGTTGAGAGCAGAGCTCATGGTTCCATCGATTACAGAAAGTCTCAGCAAAGCAGCTCAAGACCATCACACTACCACCACCGTGTTTAACTGATGACATGATGTTCTCGTAACAGCCAACTCCAGATGTAACAGGACTCAACAAGTTCAACTCTTCTTCCTTCAATCCACAGAATATTTTGCAGAGAATTTTGGAATCATTGAGATGAATTTTTTGCAAAATGAGACTAGTGTTTATGTTCTTTTTGGTCAGCAGATGGACCTCTCCCTTTATTATTGAGTCATGAACACTAAACTGACAGTTTTTGAGGCAAGTGAGTCTCACTGTCGTGTCCCATGGACACCGCCTCTCACTGGAGTCAAAAGCCTCAGAAGTGTCTTTGCTTACTCTCTTCATAGGTTGTGCACATTTGTCTGCCAGGGTCTGGCTGCCCACATGGAGGGGGGAGACCTTTCGGCAGAAGTGACCATAACTGTGCACTACTGTGTAACCCCGGCTAACCACCTGTACTGAATTATCTGATCTAGCTCCCTATGACTTCATCCACTTCCTTAAAAAAAGTGATCAAATTGTAGAAAGAAACATCTTTGGGCAAAAGTATTACAATCAGGTATGGTTTTTGATTTTATTCACCTACTTTCAGACTCACTTCTTCAGTGTGCCTGAGGGTGTAGAGGTTAAGTCGTCACTGTTTGTGTCTAAATCGAACATGCAGAGCTACCTGCTGAAAGCTACCAGCGGCTGAAAGTAGCTTCCTCTCAAAACCCCCAAATCTTTACTTCTGCGTCCCCTGAACTGCCGTACTGGGTACCACAGCAGGGACTACTTTCAGTGGCTCCTGGCTGTACCTGGCACTCGTGACAGCTGCTGGCACAGATCCACTCCAAGTGCTGAGGACCGCTGAAGGAGGTAGCCCCAAGAATGCAACTGCACCTCGTAGCCCACCAAGATGTCCGGGTCAAATCTGACAGAACAGACCGTGTTAGCAGATGGAGATCATTTCTCAAAACAAATCCCACCCCCACCCCTGTAGGAGGTGTAAAATCTACAATGAAGGCAAATTTAAATGACAGTAATGATGCACTACAGTTGCAGCAACTCTGCCCTTGGTTCCCTTTCATAAAACAGTTGCACACACCTCCTCATGATGGTGACCAACACGTCAAACAGCATCTTCTCATCAGCAGCGTATGTCACTTGCAGCCCAGAAACACCTGATCTGACCAGCAACGGCGCTCTTCCTCTGGATCCTGCGGGAGCGATTAGAAACAGAAAAAAAACCAGCCAATTATCTAGTGGCTTTAAAACTAGTGATCGAACCTTATGTTCTCGGAGGAAAACGCCGCTCGCGTGCTTCACCTTGGCTGGAACCTGGATGGTCTTTATCTACCACGATGGCCCCTGTGAGCTGGGTGTTGTCTACATCAGGCAGGGGGGTATCTGAACTGAAGCAGTAGAATAAGGCACATATGGGGTCAAACTCGGGGTCAGGTTCGAGGTCACGGCGGGTTCTTGCATGAAGCTCCATGGTCATCAGTGTCAGGTGCTGGACCTGAAGATGGAGGAGGAAACAAATACATTTGAGGTTTAATAGACTAAAAGCAGCACATCCTGTCACCCTCTGCCTGTTAAACCACAGTCTTTTATTTCGTATTTAGCTCAATCATTAATATAAATAAATAAACCATCCACTCTAACAGAAATTACAGTATTCAAGAGATATTAAAGAGGCCTGAAACCATGAAAACGTGACAAACCTCTCTTTGAATTTAATGAGATCTACGTGTGCTGGCAGTGATCTCAGTTACGTTCAGGCCTTTTTGGAAAAAGCTTGAACTTAATCAAATCTGTGCATAGATTCAAAACACCTGTACTCAGGCCTACATTCAAAGCTGGGTGTGTCTTTGTTTTATTTAGTTGTTTTGTGTAAAGCATATCGATTTGACGATAGGACAGTCAAAGTCGAAAGCAGGATGTTGTGATGATACTTGGGGAAATAAATCCTTCTTCCCAATCAGGTGGACACTTTCTCTTAAAAACAAAACCAAGCAAAACCAACATCTAACCAGAACAAAGCCATTTATTCATTGACTTGGAAAAGAGCTACAGGTTAGTTGCCTTAGACTTACCTCATGCAGAGCTTTGGCATCCTGTAGGTTCTGCATGCTGACTTTAAAGCCGTAGGAGTTGGCTATACTTGGCCCTTCGATCTGAGAGTTATCTTTCTTTGGCACATTCAAAGCAGCAAACTGATTCTGTGGAGGATAAAAAAAACATGACAAGAAAAGTTGGAATCAGGAGGAAATCACAGGCACATCAAACGATCAGCGACCTGAGAGACAGGACTGCTACATGCAATGTTCTGGAGTGATACTAAATAGTTGACTTTCTGACCCGTGCGGCTTGTAGTTTTTGTTTTAAAAGTCTAAAAAGAAAAATCACAATCAGTTTTTGACCTTCATCTGCGTGGTCAGTAACACTCTTCTCAGGGGGTCTGCCTGGCTCCGCCTCCTCTGCTGAAGTCTCTGAGAAACAGGATCCTCTGCAGCGGGAATTAGACCAGAGAAGGAGTGAATAACAGTGAATATTAATAATAGAAACTCCATGCAGAATTTTCCCAAGTTAGGATTTACCGCAATTCTTTCTAACAGTTGATGGTGTCACAACATCAAAGGAGACAGATGCACATTCCTTACCCTGAGATATGGGTGTGCTGCACACTGGATCCAGATCTTCTTTGCTTCTCCATCGCCTCCTCAAGAAAGGGGTGCTGTGAATGAGCTGGGGACTGGTTCTCCTCTCATCCCTGTCACTGACAGCGAGAGGTGAGGGACTGTGGTTCCCTCTTAGCAGCTCTGGGGAATTACAGCGCATAGGTGATAGCGGTTTTGGAGAGTCTTCACCTGGCTTGTTCTCACTGAGCTGTCCTTGGCCAGAGGGGCTTGGTTGATGGGACTGCTGCCATGTAGGCAGCTCTGGGGACTCTGGACAGGTGGTTTTATCATCATCCTCTTTATTTTTGTCCTCCTGTTCAAGACAGACACTGCCTTTATCTGAAACTGGACTTGCTTCTGTGGATTTACACCTCAATCTTGTATTCTCCAGCGGAGACAGGATTAAAGACAGGCTCTGTTTCTTTCTCCTTTGAGTTCTGGTACAGGAAAAGTTACCACAGAGCTCAACCTTCAAGCTTCTGTCAGCAGCTGGCAATTCGCTTCTCTCTGAGCTCCCATGTTCCTCCAGACCAGCCCTTTCTGTCTTCAGCACCTCACACTCTCTCCTGCCTTTTTGTAGACTCTCATACTGCTTTCTAGCTTTTAGCCACACCTGCACACGCTTGCGGCTTGGTGGGTTTTTGCAGGGCAAAAGCACCACCTTCTTATCGCTGGGTGAGGATAGGTCACCCTCTGCCTTTTGTTTATTTGTCTCTGAAGCCTCTGCTCCTTGACAAGATGAGATAACGGTGGTGGCGGGGTGCGTCATGGCCGAGAAGGCCGTCTTCCAGAAATGGAGGCCTTCCAGAGACAGGTCTCCACCAAACTCTGCAAGTTCCCGAGCTAGCCGAGTGCCCACTGTTAGCTTACGGCCACCGACCTCCCTGGAGAAAAGACGAGGAAAGGATCAGTACACTCGTTTCCATTTGAATTACAATAAATCATCATGTAGACAGTATAAAACAGAGCCAGATCAGTGGATTTCTTTTTGAACATACGGAAATTTCAGACATTTAATGATAAAGGATTGAGTTTGCTGTAGTCTAAAACAAATGCTAAAACTCTTTCCTCACTGGACTTCTATTCTCTTATCGGACAACCTTCCTTTTATTTATTGCAGTACTTTGTCGATTAAGATGTTTTACAACCCAATTAAAAAGCCTGTGAGGGAAGCTAAAAAAATCCCACAAACAAATATAAAACCTTACCAACCATCACAATCAGTTAGATCATAGGTGTCAAACTCTGGCCCGCAGCCTAATTACATTTGGCCCACAAAGCCATACCAAATTACTATTAGAGCTGGCCTACTGGTATTATACAGCTAATATATATATTAGGGGTGTAACGATACTCGATATTGAACCGTTCGATACAGTGCTTTCGGTTCGGTACGCATATGTATCGAACAATACAAAATTTTTAATTTATTTTATCAACTTTCCTTCTGTCGATGCTGTCTGTGTTGAGCGCTCAGTGGATCTGCGCTCGACAGTGCAGCCTAGGCGGAGTAGTCGAACGCAGATTCACTGAGCACAGGGCAAGCTAGCAGACAGAAGTTAAGCTCTCCTTGCAACATGGACCTCCCCCACCCTCATTCAGATCTGGTGTTTGGAACTATTTTGGTTTTCATGTGACGTATGACCCTGAAGGTAAGCGAGTCATGGACTAAAGTAAAACAGTATGTTGGATGTGCCACGCAATGCTCAATTACATTGGTGGGAACTAGTGTGTTAGTGCAGTTAGCTCGTTAACGTGTTGACGCCGTCCAGCCCCACGCACGGGGCGATCGGCGGTAGCTCGTTAACGGAGATTTGCCGTGTTGTGGCGTTAAGGTCATTTCAACGAGATTAACGCTGACAGCACTAGTGGGAACACAACGAATATGACTGCACATTTACACCGACATCATCCTAGTACAAAGACAAGTGGAAGCAGACAAAAACAACAAGCACGCATGCTACTAACTTTAGCCGAGTCATTTAGACAGCCGTTAGCACATGATTCTCCTTATGGGGACCTGATATGTTTAATATGCTGCTGAGAATATAGCCCAGAAGAAGCGGATAGTGTAGCTTTTATTTTGGAAAGAGACATTTCTCTGTAATAAACTCTTTTCCAAAGATGAGTGATTCCTCAATCAGATTTTTTTTTTTATTACTTTGTTTCAGCAACATTAAATTTAAAAACTGTACTTTTGAGTTAAAATATATATTTATAATTTTAATAAATGACAAATTAAAAAGGCATGAACTTTTTTTTTGGATCGAAAAAAATATCGAACCGTGACACCAAAGTATCGAACCGAACCGTGGAATTTATATATCGTCGCACCCCTAATATATATTGTTTAGTATTAAGCTTTGCTTGTTCCATATTCAGCTTTTCAGCAAAACTTGTTTAAGTCCATAAGAAAAGATTAATTCTTATATCTGGAGGAAGATTTTTTTTTCAATAAATATTAATGCTAGCCTGCGACAGTTTTAAATTTTGGCCCACTGTGCATTTGAGTTTGACACCCCTGAGTTAGATTCTGGCTCTTATGTGAAAACTTTACTAATACATTTATTTTGTTATATTTAGTAAATAATGCATGCTAGATGATGGTTACTGTTGCTGTTACTCTTACATTGGCTTCCCTGGGGCATCAGAGGGGTCACTGCAGAAAGGCTCCAGGAAGGTGGCCTCTGACATCTCCAGGTCCAGAAGAGTGCTGAGGATCTCCTCTCGGCTGGGAGGGGACATGAGGGGCTTGAGAATGTGGGCTCCTCCGGCCGCTGTCCCTCGCTGCAGCTGGCTTGCCCTCACCTGTGATAGCGAGCTGATGGAGCGTGGAGAGCTGCTGGGGGTGGTGGATGTTAGTCCATCAATGCCCTCCGGCAGCTCACCTGTTGGTGAGCCCTCGTGGTCGACGAATGAAGCGGAGCTTAAAGGCAGTGAGTCAAAAACTGAAAAGAGCAGCTCTTTCCTCTCACAGTGAAAGTCTTGAAAGGGGCTGAGCGTGTGGGCTTTACCTAAAGAGAAGTCCCACTCTCTGCTCTTGAGGGACGTGAGGCTTGATGTAGGCTCGCGGTTCGTGTGCCCATCTAAAAGGTCGGGGCTGTCCGGCCTTGCTCTGTTGCAGTCAGAGCCCCTTTGAAGATCCTCCCCAGAACAAAGCAGCCTGTCAAGTTTCTTTTCGGAGTCCGGCGCCTGAGCAGATACAGAATCCTGGCTGATGTCACTCAGGAATTTGACCGGTAAATTTTTATCAGTCACGACAAACTGACTGCCACTGTACGGACTGGAGAACTCTGTTTGATCGATAGCATTTATATCAAATGTGTAGTTGTGCGGGAGCTCTGGTGACAAGCTGTCCTCTATGAAATTGCATCTGTCCAGTCCCGGGTCTGACAGGAAGAGGGGACATTCATCTGACATGCTTCCCTCCTGCTTTACTGACCGATTTGGCTGAGTACTGCTCGTCTTGCCTTTCCTGTTTCTCGGCCCCTTTTCTTTTGCTGTGGTAGATTTTGGGGCCCTGGGTTTCCGAGAAGTGAGGGTGGGGGCTTTTCTGGATTTAGTGGGTTTAGTGGTGGGAATTAGAAGTGCTGCCGCCTGGGCTATGGCTGTAGAGTGGCTTGCTGTACCAACCACTTGTATGGGAAGGGGCTGTCCCTTCTGCCTCGTCTGAAGAAGCTTCTTGAGGACAGCCAAGCCAGATGGGGTCTCAGAGAGAGGGGGGATCTCCCCGTTCTTGGGGCCTGAGTGTGGGAGACCTTCTTTTAGCTGGGCATCTTTATTGTGTTCCTGTACTGGAGGCAGAAAGTCTGTGCAATAATCCTGTGAATCCTCTGCCTTTACCACGGTGGTCTGGCAAGCTTGCTGCTTCGTCTGAGCAGGTGCCGAAATGCTTTGGTTGACCTCCATGATGGAAGTCTCACAGTCTTCAACCTTTGGCTTGATAAACTTGGTTACTGAGTTCCTTTCTGGTGTAGATGGAGTCTGGGACGTGCTCTGGCTGTCTTTGCCCACCTGCTGTTGAAATGGAGGAACCTCTTGTGAAGAGCTCTCAGAAGGAGGCAACTCATCCTCTGGGAAAAGGAGTTGGGAGCTCTCTTTACTTAAGTCATGGCTTTTGGGTTCCTCTGTTTTCTTTTTACGAGACCTTCTAGGTCTTGTAGTGCTTGTAGAACTGTTGACAGCCCCTCCAGCTTTGATCCTCTGCCTCGAAATAGCAGGATTACCTTGTTTTGCCTTCTCAGTTTTAGGCTTTTCTGCAGACTTACTTGTTTTCCTTTTAGCATCTGACAGTCTCTTGGGTTTGGCAGTTTGACACTTACTACATGCTCCTTTGGCTGTAGACGATCTATGTGGCTTTTGGAAAGCAGAACTAAGACATGGGTCAATGTGTGGATTTATCAGCTCTTTTGAACTCCTGGTATTCATGAGGGGGTCACTTGGGGACCAACAGCGTGGCGGCGTTGAGTCTCTCGGGCTTTGGGATCTATCTGAGAGGTAGCCCAACTCTACCATGACATCTGAATAGTCAACATCATAGTCATGTGCCAACTCACAGTAACATGGTCTAGGGGGTGGCAGAGATGGCAGGACTGGGGCTTTTTTGCGGCCTTTTGGCCTCTGAACCCTTTCACCCTGTCTGATCAGAGGTTTGGAGGAGTTGTTGATAGTCTTTTTATTTGTGGAGTTGACCTTTGCCTTTCTTTTGGGATGTTTTTTGGCTTTTGGTTCAGTGACGGGAAACTTAACAGCAGTGGATTCTGGTACCTTGGGCCAGAAATCCTTGAGAGGAGCCAGTTTTTTATAGTGCTCTAGCTTGTCTGGCGTCAACACCACCAACTGCTCAGCTGCATTCACTTTGGACATCTTCACCAGCATGTTTTTCTCTCCCTTGAACCTGTTAATAATAATGTACTTTATAATAATAGGAGGTTCCTTCTTGCGTCTTCTCTGATACTTTACTTCTTGCCCACCTGAGACATCATTGTCCTTAAGTCGTTCTTTGACAGAAGCTAGGTTTTTAGAACGAGTAGCACTTGAGTGTTCCCCATCCTCCGAATCATATTTCATCTTCCGTTTGGTCCTCAGGGTGTATTTACTACCTGGCAGTGCTGACGGTTTAGTACAGGTGACTTTGGCAGACAAATCTTGCAGTGGGCTTACCACATCCTCAGTAGAGTCTTTAGTTTCCTCAGAAAAACAGGAATTGGTAGCAGAGCTGGAGACAAGGGGCTCTGGCTGTGGTTCTGCTTGTTCACCTATGGACCGCTCCTCACTTTCAGACTCATTTTTCACAATCGTTTCCTCTTTGATCAACTCGGCCTCTTGTAAATCCTGATGATCCTCAGAAATCAGCATTTCAGTGTCCGTAGTCACAGGACTAGCAGGTGTTACTGAGGTGATGCCGGTGCTAATCTGGCTATCAGAGGTAGAGCTTTGGACCACCTTTAATTTGTTCCTAGGTCCTGTCATACCTAGCCTTTTTTTGTTCATCTTTAGCTTAGACCTGCGAGGTTGGGCCTGTTCTACTTTACTGCAGGTGTCAGCCATTTTCTTGTTCCCAGGTTTCTTTCTGCTGAGGCAGTTGGAGAGAATGACACTGGGGAAAAACTTGTAGTGTGCCTCCTGCTGGGCAACAATAGTCCTCTCAGTCTTATTTTCCTGATAATCCTCGTACCTGATTTTCAGCTCACCGACATCTCCTTCCTCGCCGTCTTTACCAATTTCGTCCTCATGAGGATCAAGAAACTCGTCCTCCTTCAAGGTCGATGGGGCTGATGCGATGCTCCTCAGAAGGGGGCTTTTATTGTCTTTTGTGTTCAGTTCCAGGTCAGTCTTAGCTGAGCAGTTTCTCAGCTCAGAATAACAGAGAGAAAAGCCCCTGTGGTTCTGAAGAATGGACAGACGGTTTGTTTCTACATTCTTTATACTGCTGTACTTCTTCCTGTCCTTGGCGACCTTTCCATTACCAAATGGGAAACTTTCAATATCCGTCTTATCCAAAGCTATCGAAGCTTTCTTATCGTAGGTGTACAAAGGTCGTAGTTCTTCTTTGTCCATGCAGATGGGAGACACCTCAGGGTGATTGGCTAATATGCAGGGAATAGGGTGCTTGACTGGCTGGATGTAGGGGATTTCTTTATTCACCTTGAACCCTGTCAAACATTCACTACTGCTGTCCTGACTGCTTTTTAACTGAAAGTGCTTGTCAAGCGGCTGCTCCGTGTCCAACACGTGAACTGGTATGTGCTCGGGATGCTTGCACTCCAAAAGGATCTTAGCTGTAGATGGTGGCTCAAGGTGGACCGTCTCCCCTGGGATGGGATTTCTTTTGCCCAACATCTTTTCAGTGGCCGTAAGCGAAGACTGCGTCATTGAGCCACTATCTGTTAAGGAGGAATCTATGGATACAGCATGTGAGAAGAAGAGGCATATCAGTTAGTATCCACAGCTGCAAGAAATTAACCTGAAATTCATCTGATCAGACAGCGCAATCACCCAAAACCCCAGGGTGAGATCGATCACTATTTTGATATATTTAAATTAGTGCTGTCAGCGTTAATCTCGTTAAAAGGACGTTAACGCCATAACCGCATTAACACGGCAATTCTCCGTTAACGAGTTAACGTGGATCACCCCAAACGTTTCACTAATGCGGCATCAACGCATTAGCACCATGCAGCCCTGCACACGTGTTAACCTGCTAACCGAGATTTGCCGCGTTAATGGCGTTAACGTCATTTTAATGCTATTAACGCTGACAGCACTAATTTAAATTTTAAAAAGTCAAACTACTACAATATTTCTATGCCATTATAACATGTTGAATGCCAAAATTCATAATTTAAGCTCAATAAGAAAGTGACCATTGCTCTACATAAGACACAGGGCAACTAGAACATCACTAACATGTGCATCAGCAGGAAGCTTGTCCCTCATTCTCTGCTCTGGCTCTTCTGATAATGTAGTTGTTCTGCTTTTGGACCAGTTGAGCTACTGATAAAGTCATCTAATGCAGGTGGGGTGATAAATAACAGCTCAAATATGGTCATGCTATGGACTGATAATACTTCTATGTGAATATATGCAGACAGATCTTATATCTATAATGAGTTATTAAATATATAAAAACAATTCATAATAAGTATAAAGCATATGATATTCTTCTCGACGGTATATATTTCTCCTGTTTGTTATTTATTCCTGCACAGCTGGCGTGAAGTACCCATCTTTTGTTGTCCATGTACAATGAGTCTATTACCAGTCTATGAAGTTGTAGTCATCTTTCCAAACACACATGCACACTCTAAAACAGTTAATTAACCCCAGAGAGTCAGTTTTTACCCCAGAGTCTGGCATCAAATTGTAGCCTGTCAGGTCATAGAGCCAAAACTAAAAATCATACTAACTTTGTCTTCTGTAGCAGCTATCAGATCCCGTCTCCTGACATACTTGACAGAGCGTGAATCAGTGGGGGGTGTCAGATGGGCATCAAAGCAAGCTGACACTTCATGCTTTATCAGTACATCTCATCATAGGACAACTCACCGCTGCTCTCGTCTGCGGCGCCATCGAGCTGCGGGATGGACAGGTTAGCGAACATAGAGTTGTTTCCACTCCACTCCATGTCTTCGTCAGAGGACTCCTGCTGGGCATCACTGAAGCAGTTTTCTGTCTCCTTCATGCAGGGTCTGTGCACACACACACCAACGACAGGAACCGTATTATTAAAGAAAAATGCCCAGGCAGAGCTCACTGGGGATGACTCACAGATCGTGTACAGCGATCGCTCACCTATTTATTTAAGATACAACCAGAAACAAAAAAGGTGTAGCTTACACTTGTACTTGTTACTTATTACTAAAAAAATGAAAACATTTTGATGCACAACATACTCTAAAACTGATGGTTATACTTTTGCCTTCAACCATGCAGAGATAAACATGCCTCTGAGAGGAAGCACTATCAGTAGGGTCGCTGTCCCAACGCTGTGACATTATAACACTGAGTTCTGCCTCTTCCTTGTCCAGTTCTGGGCCTGCTTCCTCTTCATCACTGTTGCAGTTGTAGTTCGTGACACCGGGGAGTGAGCGGGACTGGGAATTCTGCCTAGTGGGTGTCCTGCAGAAACCATCGTCCTCCAGGCCTGCCAGCAAGTCAATGATGGCTTGGTCCCGGCTGCTGTCTGCATGGAGGACAAAATAAAGCACACAGACAATATCAGACAGCTGTACGCAATAACTTTCTCTCCAGATCAGCCAGTTAATCAAAGCTAGAAATGTCGTCTGCTTACAAACGTTTATTCACAAGTTTTTGGCCACCAACTTAGAAGAATTTAAAATGTAGAAGAGAACAAGAAGAAACTAAAGATGCTTTTTACTAAAGAAAACAACACTTGGACAGCTGTTAAGCATTGAGGTCAATATTTTCTCCTTTCAGGGTGTAGTGGCAGCCAAGTGGACAAGAACCAGATGTATATGGAGGAAAGAATCCACTAAATATCAGAAAATATGGATGGAAAGGGGGAAAAAGTGGCTTTTACAACAGGACAACAATCCAAAACAGTCATAAAAATCCATTTCAGAAGCTTCTGGAGTCAAAGTCACATGACCCGACCACTGAATCGGCATCTTTGAAATGCTGTTTGCGGAAGACAGCCTTAAAATGATCACCTAAAAATCACAGTTTAATCATGGGAAGCAAAATCGAGCATAGAAAATTAAAAACGTGCACGAATGAAAGAGGCTGTGTTACCTAACAGGGTCGAGTGGTTGGATGTCTGGGAGAGTGGGAGGAAAGACTGACTGTTCTCCAGGAGAGTCAGGATGGCCTCCTCATCAACGACAGCCTCCTCTGGGACTTTCCCACTGCTCCTCACATAGTCTGTGGGCAGCAGCAGAGAAGATGGAAACTACCGTTAGCCATACTTCGATGTCACACTTTGCTAACAACAGTTTCACTGAGATACCATATTAAAGCAGCACAGTTCAGCATTAGCTCGGTGACTACCATCTTTGGCAGTTTCTAGAGTACCAGTGAAACGTTTGGACACACAAGCACAGAGATTTCCTGCACATTAGCCCAATGTCAGTCTCACATCGTCACTCCTTCAACTCCCGGACTTGGGAAGGAGCGACAGGGTGATGAAACAAGTACTTCTCCTGCCAAACACACAGGCAGAATGAAAGAAACAAATGCATGTCACAAGGGAAACCTAGTCCAACTAGGGCTTAAATTCTATGAAGGAAAAGGAAGTGTAGGGTGCTAGTACGTAAAATCCAGATCTTCTTCATCTCCTATAGTGAATCAGACTACTTACAAGATGATATTAAAAGGGGATTTCGCTTCTGTTTTGTTCTCAGATTTAATAAGCTTATAATAATAATAATAATAATAATAATAATAATAATAATGGATTGCATTTATATAGCGCTTTTCGGGGCCCTCAAAGCGCTTTACAATTATAACAACTTTCATTTCTGATATTGGCTTTAAAGCCAGACAAAACAAATGTAAGAAAGAAATGTCGCTGTACATTGTTTTATGTGCACAAAAACTTATTCAACTTCCTAAAAAGTCAGTTTATTCAATTATATAACCCTTGATAACTACCCAAGAAAGAATAGAATAGAATTCAACTTTATTGTCATTGCACATGCACAGGTACAGGGCAACGAAATGCAGTTTGCATCCATCCAGAAGTGCTTTAGTGATATAGATATATTACAATATATATTAGCAATAATATAGATATGTGAGTATATTACAGAAATGGGTCTATTATGGTATGTTATAATGTACACGGTATGAGGTATGTTGTGAATATTCTGTAACTATAAGTATGTACAGGCTGTAGTGAGTATAAGCTATGTTCTCACTACAGCCTGTACAAAGAAATGACTTCCATTATCAAAGATACAACAGTATCTGGTTTAACCCACTTCATGCCACCAAATTACTGATGAGCCACCAAATAAAAAGTGTAAAACACCAAATCAGAACATAGCTTTGGTCCTTATTGGTTTCATAGCAGGTCAAACTATCCCATCGTGATAACTCTATATGATATAACTCAAAGCAAAATCTGCTGTTGCCGGTCTGTGAAACATCTACTGCAACTGTCCTCACCTGGCTGTGAACCCCTGTGCACCTCCACAGCGTTAGCAGGGGTACACGGCAGCCCGTCTGGGGTCAGGGGGTCAAAATGAAGTGTTAGTTCACCGGGGAAATCTTCTTGGTTCTCCCCATCACAAGCACACAGATCTTGTGTCCTGAGGAGATAAACAGACATCAAGTTTTACTTTTTACCAAAACATTTAACAGTGTTGTCTGCATGGCTGTTAGCTGAATTAGAAAGCTGAGCACCTTGTGCAGCAGCCATGTTTTATTAGCATGTCTTTACAGCGGGTCTTAATCAGAGAAAGTGCTCGGTTTAGTGGGTGAAAGCTGTGTGTGGGACTGCACAAGTGTGCAGAGTGTCTCTTGTCTGGCAACTGTGTGAGGAAGTATATGGGTGTGTACAGCTAAGTGGTGTGTGTCTGTGTGTTGGCAGAGGGAATATGAATGGAAAACGGGCAGACAGCCAACTGGGCTTTGTATCCCTCCGGATCGCCCTCAGCCACAAGCTGCCTATCACGCCCCCTTAATCGTGCTGCCCCTGCTGCATCGCCTGGCAACTCACCACTTAGTGACTCTGAAATATTGAAACAAAGACGAGGCGGGCGGCCGCCACTCGCACGTGGAACAGATTTTACAGGAGTGGTTTTGAGGAAGAAAAAAACGAATTCCATTTTAGGCACTGCTCTGGAGGAGGTCTTTCAGATCTGGTGAAGATGGTAGACTAGAGTCTGAAGCCTGGCCACGAGTCTGACCATGTAAAAAGCCCTCAGGATACTAAACTGTTGCTCCTGTGACTGCACGGATGACTTCTGTAGCACAAGTTCAAGCTTCTTTAAACCTTCTGATGCAATATGTAGAAAAGCACGGGACTGACAGGTGAAGCTGGAGAACACCATGACTGAGCCCAGTCACGGCTCAGGGAAGAACACAAACACTCGTGTGGGAAGATGGCCAGACAGAGACAAATAAACAGCAAACACATCAGACAGAATAGTAGACTATGAATCACAGCCTTGTGGACACCCTCTAACTCACTTTAAATGATGAATGAGCAGCAGCGGGAGGGAGGAGGCTGATAAATGATGAATGCTTTTCAGACAACATGGCTGTAAAATGAAATCTACTCCAGACTCAGAGTTTAGGTTGAGATTGAGGGAGGTTTCATGACAGAGACTTCGTTCTGCTGGTGCCGTATGATGAAGAGCCTCCCGAGAGTCAGCGTGCACGTGCCACTGTCTGGTTGTTCTTAATTAGTCTGCCAGCTAACGACTTTAGAGGGAGCCAGGGAGGGAGCCTGGCAGGCGTCAGGAGATTTCTGCAATGATGAACACATTTTGCCACCAAGCCACGCCCTCTCAGAGTTTGAATGATGAGAAAGAGAAAGGAACGATAACTAGAAAGTCTTGTTAGCAGATGTGTGCCTTTGTAAGTATATACTGAAATACAGACTCTGAGCCATTTGATGAGCCGTTAACAAGATTTAACTTAAGACTACTTGTTACATTAAAACTACCAGACCACACAGCTTAATCTCTGATTCAGATGTTCTTCATCTTACAAGTGTATAAAATCAAGCACCACATCTGTGATTGTTCTAAAGACTGAATTCAGGTGTGATACTGTAATAGTTTTTGAAACATCTTCTCTCGTCATTACTCCTGGAAGTGGTATTATAGCAAAGTGGAACCACAGCAACTCCAGTTGCAGACCATATAAGTAAAGAATGGAGATGCCAAGCCCTGAAGCAATAAGGACTACAAATCGCCATCGCTCTGCAACTTAATAACGGCAGAGTTCCAAACCTCTTCCATCAACATTAGCACAAACACTGCACTGGGAGCTCCAGTGTGGGTTTCCATGGCAAAGCAGCTCCTCTAGGTGTAATATGTAGATGCACATATGATTTGCACCTTTGACTGTAATTTTCTATCTGCTGCCTCAAGACAAAAGTGTGCAGTTACACTAATTGTTAAGATAATACCATGCTGAGTGATGAAGAGCCACAACTGGCCACAGATACACTGATGAGGCATCACAAGTAAGAGCTGTGTTGTGAAGTTCAAATGACACAGAGGCTCTGAGGCTGACACTGCGATTAATACACGGGAGTCAGAAAAAAAAAAAAAAAATGTAGAACTACATCTGCTGATGCTAATTTGAACAAACAGATTTGCTTCAGATGGCTTTGTTTAACACTTTATCTAACTGACAGTTAGTTAATGTCCCCACATCTTTATGCATTAACCCCAGGCCGTGTGGGGTAATCAAGTCTGAGCACTGTCCAAAGGTTCTCTTCCTGTCACGTGGCACACAGCAGAAAATGCTCCAAATTCTTCTGTGGGTTTAGATAACAAATGGTAAATGGCCTGTATTTGTATAGCGCTTTACTAGTCCCTAAGGACCCCAAAGCGCTTTACACAACCAGTCATCCACCCAGTCACACACCCATTCACACACTGGTGATGGCAAGCTACATCGTAGCCACAGCCACCCTGGGGCGCACTGACAGAGGCGAGGCTGCCGGACACTGGCGCCACCGGGCCCTCTGACCACCACCAGTAGGCAACGGGTGAAGTGTCTTGCCCAAGGACACAACGACCAAGACTGTCCAAGCTGGGGCTCGAACCGGCAACCTTCCGATTACAAGGCGAACTCCCAACTCTTGAGCCACGATCGCCCCCATAACAATATGGCACCAGCATAGACAGGAGGCTAGAAATAAGACATCCAAGTGACTTGGAGTAAATTCCCCATACCAATACCTGACTGTTAGGATGGCCTATAGGAGCTGGGTTCAAAGAGGAGGATTGAGGCAGAGATGAAGTGCAGACAAACCTGTTGGTGTTTATTCACCAACATTAAAATTCCAAAAAAAGAGTGTAGGCCAGGGGTGGGACATGGTTCCTGTAACAGCCTCTGATGTTAACTAGCAGCTTTTTATAGACTGCGGCTAATTGGTCCTCAAGTCATACAATGATCTGGGGTTCCATCCATCCATTCTCTTCCACTTATCATTTTTCAGGGTTGCAGGTGGACTGGAGTCTATCCCAGCTGTCTTAGGCCGAGAGGCAAGGTATACCCTGGACAGGTCGCCAGTATGTCGCAGGACTAACACACAGACACAGACAACAGTTACTCTCACAGTCACGCCTATGGGTAATTTAGAGTTACCAGTTAACCTAACTGCGCTAACTGCATGTCTTCGGAATGTGTGAGGAAGCCTGAGTACCTGGAAAGAACCCATCCAAACATGCAAACACCACACCGAAAGATCAAATCAATATTGTAGACATAATTAACATAATTACAATTAGTAAATAAAATATTTCCCACTTGGCCTAACGACTACAATCTACAATAAACTAATATAGCTATGGGTAGCACCAGGAACCTTTAAAAGGGCACTCGAGATGCCTGAGGACTCTTGTGGCTGGCACACCATCAAAAGAAAACAAAGGTAAGACAATCTCATCCAAAATGTAAGTGTTAAAGTACTGGTTTCCACCAGCTTAACCAAACATTATATACTAATTGAAATCTCTTTTCCTAGGCAGACATTAAACGGTACCAGCTGGAAGACACAAGGAAAACCTTTAGCCCAAATAACCAATAAAAACAAACTTTTGTATGAGTGCCCTTTCCTGTAATATAAATATTAAAATCACTCATGTTTATACAGTTAAGTAATGAAGATGACCTTCATTACACTGACCTATTCTCACATGACCTTGTATGAAGAGCGTGGCAGAACAGGGTAAAGGTTAATCGAGTGGGAGGACATTTCCAACCAAAATGAGGTTTAAAGAGCTATATATAGAATCGGATATAAAAGCCCTCCCATGGAGGAGAAGGCTGGAATCCAAAATCAGGAAAGCCCAGAAGGTCACTTGCCTACCAGAGAGTGTCATGAGAGACTGGTTCTGGATGAATAAGAGGTACAACAATGTGTCCATAACTGAGGCTGTAGAAACTGCCAAAACAAAGGTTCACAGCTGAAGAATTGGACAAAATCCCTGAATTAAAAGAAAACCATGAGTAAAGGGAAATAAGATGTTTCCAAAAAGCCTAAAATGCTAAGTGAGACACTGACAAAGCAGCAATATTAGCAGTACATAGTAGAGTAAAGGAGAGCCAACAGACAGGAAGTGAAAGGCTGCGTGAGAGTATTAACAGAAAGGGTAACTGAGACAGCCAGGTATTGGGAAAGAAGCCAGGCAACTCTGTGTGTGTGCGCTCCATCACTTAAGACGAGGCTGACTCTACACCGAAGGTCTGCGCTGCTCCCCCCTCCCCTTTGTTCCTGTCTGATATCAGGGGTTGGTGAATGGAAGCCATCTGGATGTGATGCAGCAACACACACACACACACAGTCGAGTCAACTGTACTTTATTTATAACAGGAAATACTTTCTAGCTGTACATCTGGCGATTGTTTCACCATCCCCCTCCCTTTTTTTCTCCACTACATCTGTTGCAATTTCACTTTCCCCATTTTATCCAATCTCTGATTTTACTGCTTCGCTCTCTGCCCCGAGAAGAAAAACACTGAGGCAGAAAGAAAATGAGGACACACAACAACTTCATTACAGCTCAATACAAAGAACTAAAAAACAAGAACAACTTGTTATTGATGTGGGCTGCCAGACTATGGGAGACTTTGCTCTCTAAGGCTGGGAGCATTTTGTCCCCATTTTCAAACACTGTTACTCTCTTGCATAAACTCAAACTCTGTGACAGTTACTCCAAATTTCATGACGGATATGGGACATTGACTTTCAGTTATTAAATTTTTAATAATGACAATAAGACAAACAAACAACAAACCATAACCTAACATGAAAAGAATAAAGTCAAAATAAGCACTCTCACACTAGGAAAATGAGATAAACAAATAAAAGAAAGGCAAACAAAATAGTTGTGCAAGAGAAAATCATGTTGGAACACTGTGCATGCCCACACTGACTTCAAAGGCCCTTTAGAACTGTCATGCCACAACAAAATTAGGACATCTGTGTTGAATCTGGCAAAGAGCGAGTAATGCATCATACAGATCAGATGTGATCTCGGCCATTTCACCATAGACCTCAACCTTGCAGACAGTGAATACCAATTTCTATTCCAAACTTTAAATGCAGGTTTTGTGTAAAGGGGGTCATCACACAAGTGATGCAAATTACCAAGAGTCCCATTTCCAAGCCTGAAGGCAGTGCATCACGTGAGAAGGGACACAATGCCTTTTTTCCTCTAGCACCTAATCGTTTCGCCACGACTCTGTTTCGGTTGTTTTCCATTACAATTCAATACCATCTCAACATGGGTGGGCAAGGTGGCCTCAAAGTCCAGTGATGTCATTTGCTTTTGACACAAATAACACAACAATAGTCTAACTCCCTCTTGGACTGTCATCAGGCACAAAAAAGTCTGCACCTCAACATGGTGTTGGTTTTGTGTGTCGCCTTTTCCAGGATTCAAAAATGGTTGACTTGATTCTCGTGAAAGAGTTGCTTTCATAATTTATCCAGTGATATCACATTTGTGGCTCACTTGGAACCCCGGCCAAACTGGTACTAAAAAAAAAAAAAAAAATGTACATCTACCTATTGGAAAACAGAAAAACCAAGTTGAGCCTAGTAGGTGTTAGTGGAGAAAGGCACATATTGGATATTAACAGGGTTGTGCATCATGAAAACACCACTGCTTGTTTCTACAGTAGTAACAGACCGTTGACCTCTGACATCAACAAGGCAACCAGAGAACTGCCACTCATTGGACAGTTTCTTGTTTTCAGATCATTCTCTGTAAACCCTAGAGAGTTTCTGAAATACTTAGACCAGCCTGGCTGCCAAGAGCAACCACATCACTTAAAAGCCCATCTTCCTTGTTCTGATGCCCAGTTTGGATTTCAGCAGTTCAGCTATGCCTGCATGCAACAAGGCGCTTTATATTGTACGCTAAAAATGCTACAATAAATACAGAGAAACCCCATTAATCAGACAACCCTCTAGGCGCAAGTCCTTTGTGATAGTGGGAAGAAAAAAAAACTCCCTTTTAGCAGGAAGAAACCTCTGGCAGAACCAGGCTCAGAGAGGGGCAGCCATGTGCCATGCCCGGTTGTGAGTGAGGGGAGTGAGAGGAGTGAGACGTGACAAAAGGCTGCCATGTGATTGGCCATATGAGCTGTACAGGTGCACCTAACACTAGTACAAAATATACACAAAGTGCTACAGCACTTCTAAGCGAAGTGGAAACGTTAATAAACGGTTAATATGTGATTATGAATTTTCCTCGTGAACAATCTTAAGGATCAAGATTAGTGCAGTCTTTCAGATATCGTGTACCCTGGCACTACCAAGATAAATCAAAGGAAGGAGAACGAACTTACACATCAAACTCGTTCTCCTTGAGGATCTCCTCGACTCTCTTCATGAAGATTTTCTCACTCTCTGATGAGGTGACAAACCCACGATCTGGAACACATCAGACAAGCAATTTCAACACTGCACTTTCTGGCGCTTAGAAACATTCTTCGGACATGGAATTCTTCGCTACAATTAAAACATTGTGGTCAGTAATAGCTGTTAAGCATGCTGCTGTTTGGCTGGGTAATTTTGCTGTCAGTCTGTAATAAACTGTGACCTTAATTCTGCATACCATAATCTTTTGTCTTTGCACATTGTAAATTGTTTTGTAGGAGCTATAATTCATGGACATTATCTGAGTTCTTCTCTCTTCACTTTTCTAGCTTGGGAACCCCGTGTGCTTATGTGCTTGGGTGTAGGCCTGAGAAACTTTTTGTCACAGTGCAGCCGTGCTCTGATTATTTGGCAGCCTATTTCCATGACAGCTCTGTGTGTGTGTGTGTGTGTGTGTGTGTGTGTGTGTGTGTGTGTGTGTGTGTGTGTGTGTGTGTGTGT